TCCTGGAGAGGAGTCCTCTTGCTGTGCTTCCCACCCCTCCCATGCTGGCTGGTACTCGTCGGATCCCCCCGTGAGCCAATCTCAATACCCCAGCAGAAAGCTAAGGCTTTTTTTTCCCCTGGATTAGTTTTCTGATGGTCTGGTGCATTGAATCAGCTAATGAAAGGGGCAGCTTAGCGCCGGAGCCGGCGCAGAGCCGGTGGGAGCCTGCGGCCGGCAGCGGGTGGTGCCTGCACAAAGGGGAAGGGGAAAGAGGAGCCGTGGGGTCCCACACTCTGGGCAGGAGTGACCTGCTGCGGGTGGCACAAACCCCGAGGTGTTTACCATCTCTGCCCAGCGCTGCACTGAGCCTCCTACAAATCCCTTGCAGGAAGTTGTGCGCTGCTGGAGGCGCATTGAATTGAGAGATCTGTGTTGATTTTAGTATACAGTCAGCAACCTTTCCCAGCTACTCTCTGCTATGGAGCATCTTCTCCTGGTTTGTTTTGCGTGGCCTGTGAGGGCCTTGCACACTGTAGTTGGGAAAATTTTATGGAGCAGCAATCACACACTAAGTAATTCACTGCAAAGCTCCTGTGGTAGGTTCAGTTCATGAATCTGAGGAGTGAATGTATAGTGTAGGAAAAACATTATGCTAATATACTGTATTATTTTCTGGCTAGAATAGATTGTTGTCCATATGCAAAATGTCCAAATGTATAATTGTATATTTTGCATGGAGAAGTTGTGGTTGCCCCATCCCTCTAGAAGTGTCCATGGATGTCTTTGGAAAGGCATCCATGCCCATTTCCTTATTCAGGTGACAGCTGTGGGTCCTGAGAGCTTTCTGACTGCCCCAGTTTTGTGGGGATAAGACTATCACTCTCTGTGGAGCAGCCTCTGACGCTGGGGTAGGAGGAGGTGCCTGATGCGGGCAGGAATTCGCCCGAGTGAGAAACAGATGTCCTGACCCAGGAGTTATTCATGTCTTTTTAAAATGCCATGTATGAAGCTTTTATCTCTCCTTAACTGAGCAGGGAAGCAAGCTCCCCAGACCTCGGCCCAGCCTCCCTTTGAGGCTGCCTGGCGGGCGGGCACCGCATGGGCGCACAGCCGCGCAGGTACCTCTCATCCAGGAAGCTCCCCAATTTGTGCTATTCACAACCCGCAGGGTACTATTCTGTTTCCAGGCTCCTAATCCCTCTTACACACAATCCCTTACAACTTTAACTGGCGGGGTGGAGGAGCAAGTTAAAAAGGAAGGAAAAAGGAAAATGAAACACAATGTACAGCCAGGCCGTGGCTGCCAGTTACGGCGCACACAATCGACACCAGCTGCAGCCCAATTAAACCCGACATTCACAGGTGTTCCCAGCACACTCGGCGCTAACAAAACCACTTTCTTGAAAATACCTAAGGCTTTAACACAGAAGCTGGTTTCTTTTTTTTTTTCTTTTTTTTTTTTTTTTTTAAAGATTCTTTAAAGCTATTTAGAGCACTTTAAATACAAAGAAGCTGAAAAGGACTTTCAGTGCACTGGAAAGAGTTGGTGCTTAATGCCAGAATGGGGGAGAATTCTGCTGAGCTGAATCAGCCAGTGTAACCATTGGTTTCAGGAGAAAGATGGGTTATGCTGAATGCTGTTTATTCAGGGAACAGTAACTGGCACTGGGCATTTTACTGTTTCTCGGGAGTGAGATGGGGAAGGAGGGAATGGCTAGGTGTAAATCCATTTCTTTTGGGGACTCATCGTTGTTTGCCCCATAGCCGTGAGCTTGTGTGTGGCTTTGCTTCTTACTGATCTGTGTGTGTGTGGTTCACTTCGCAAATTTAGATCCTACTTCCCTCCCAGCACAGCTTGATACTGTTATCTTTTTTACTTTGAAGCAGGATTCTATATTAGTTGTTTATTTTCTGATCTTAAAGCACTCCCTAAGATAAATCCTGGTTTTCATACATGAATTCAGAAGTATTCCCGTGCTAAGAGAGGACTGCAGACAGCAGGCAATTGCATAGGCCATTCATTTGCTCTCATGCCATTGAAAATGAGAATTCTCTTTGTTAAACTTTCATAATTATAATAATAATCAAACTAGGGGATATTGTGGTACTCATAGATTCAATAGCATTCAGCCCCACCTCGCTGGCTCTTCACTGATGCATTAGCACCCACACCTCAGTAGTTATTGCTTGATTACCCGGTGCCTGGTCTGTTTAATCACTGTGGTTTCTGACAATCACTTCATGTCTTCATTACTGCCTTAGCAGTTGGTGCTGAAAGCCACTCTGTATTCAGATGCAGTCACAATATCTATTTTGTCTTTCAATGCAGCAGTTTTGCCTTTGGAACAGGGCTAGAGTATTATTCCTATTCCTCACAACACACAGAGATCCAAAAGACTGTGCTTATATTTGTCTTTTGTTGTATACTGAAAAGGTAAAAATAGAGGTAGGCAGAGGCTCTTCATGCTGCTAAATGCAATGGAGAAAAAAGAAAATCACCCAATTTCAAATTCATAAGTATTAAAGCTAAACTGGATATTGTCACTCAGGAAAAGATGCTGGAGGCAGTGTGGATAATTTTCGGGGAAAAATCATCCGGGCACTAATACAATTATAGGAAAGGAACTGCAAACAACCCAAGGGCACTTTTATGCCTTGGTGCCCTGCATGGTTTCAGCCCCTCAGCAGAGAGAGGGTAGGGCAGAACTAGCCAAGACAACATAGCAGATGGGAGGAAGGTTGGACAAGTTCTACAGGAACAAGGACTGAATCACTGAGGACTCTTCAGCTTGCAAAGACTTGACTGAAGGGGATGAGATAAAATTCTCTGAAATCATCATCGATGGTATGGGGTAGGTGAATGGGGAACAACAGATGAATCACTGTTCTCATAACAGGGACTAGGAGGCACTTGCTGAAATTACCAGGGCTAATACAAACAAACGTGCTTTTTATATAAGGCATGATTAGACCATGGCACTCGATACAGGATGATGTTGACGCCAAAGGAGAAATGTTTTAAGAAAGTAATTGGAGAAGTTTGTTGAGGATAGGTTCATTGCAAGGTTTCAAGGCTTTAAAACTGATGATCTGGGTTAGCCCCTCCTGCTGCCTTCCCTCTTTGCCTCACTTGACCCAATCTATAGAAATGGCATTTAAAATCCCTTCAGTTTCTCCATCTGGTAAGAAATGTCCCAGTGTGACTGTGGCAAGAAAACTCCATGAAAAAACAGTGACCTTAGCCCAGTAACGTGGCCGATTTCACCAGATGAATTCACTCTCGTGTCACTGTGGCTACACTACTACTTGTGTTTGCTTTCCACGAGTGATTTAGCGTTAACCAGCTAGTGAGAATACTTGTGAGGACTTTATTTTTTCAAGTTTGCATTCTTGAACAAAGCAAAATAATCAAACTTGCCTTGTTGAATCTCTTACCTCAGAAACCTGATGCTCTGGGTTAGCCAAGGAATGGAAACAACACTGTGTGACTCTGACCAGATGGGAGGGCCCAAATTTTCAACGCTGTGCCATAACGCCTGCTGTTTATTACTCAGTAGTACAGGAAAGATTTAGTCCACAAAAGTTCCAAGTGCAGCCAGGGGGAGGAAGAACAATAATTCATGCCTTAAAATTCTTTCCTCATCCCTTAAAAACAGCTAAAATGCTTTTGAGAAGCCAAAAATCATCAGTTTTCTGGTGTTTTTTCACATCTAGTCATTTTCAGTTATCACAGAAATTAAGGTTCAGTTTCTAAGAGTAAAAATATAACAAAAAGAATCCTTTGGAGGTTAATTACCATCACTGTCACTGCTAGTGTTGGCAGAGCACAGAGAAAACATGAGAGCATCATCAGAACAATCAGCTTATGGACGAATTTTCTTTAAGCAGCTTAATATTCCTGTTAGGGATGGGGAAGTCGTCACACTGTCTGCTTAGGGAAAAACCTGCATGGAAAGACCAAGGTCCCTCCATTAACTTTCTAGATGATGTATTACTTATCTCTGCAAGAAACTGGTGCACTACCTCTCAGCTCTGCTTCCACGTTTAGCTGTCTCTGAAGTCCTGAAAAGCATTAAAATGCGTAACAGCAGTGTTTAGCTTCGCTGCTCATTAGAGCAGCACAGAACTAATAGTAATATTGTTGTAACTTGACAAAGCCATCTAAATCCATGCATGTTTTCTTGTGAAAGCTTCCTAAACATGCTGGTAAATCCCCTAAAAAGCTACTAAACGGCTTTGGCAACCATTAGCAGAGCATATAAGCGGGGGAACTCCTTTCAGTAAGTGAACAAACAGAGAAAATATGCTGAATAGCTGGACAAATGTGTTTCAGCTGGCTCTTTCATTTACAGATATAAGGGAGCAGTCAATATCAATCACTGTTTTCCCTGTTGCACTGGAAATCACAATATCTCTTTTCATTCCACAAGCTCCTTTCACCACAGCAATGTGTCTTTAGAGTGACACTGGCATCAGTCTGTTTCCGCTGTCTGAAGTCCAGAGAGCTTAAAAACACATTGCAGGGTATGAGACCTTAGCCCTCCTCCCCTTCCACACACCCCTCTCCTTCGAGCCTTCCTTTTGGAATTAATTGTTTTTACTTCTTTCCCAGTGTAAAGCTGAGAAAGAAAAGTGCCTGCAGAGCCTGGGAATATCTGCTCTTGCACTTTGGGGACCAAGAAATGTATGGCTGGTGGTTGGGGTTTGAATTTATCAGGTGTTGCAGGGAGTTTTAACACAAGGTAATATGATTAGAGAGTTAATTTGCAACATGCTGTAATATGAAATGTAATGGTACTGCGGTTTGGATTTTGAGCTATATCCTGTTTCTTGGATGTCCTAATTGCCCGCAACCTCATTTATTACCAACAAAAAAGTTGGAAAAACTCTCCTTGTGAATATCTGGCATTTGGAGTAATTTGATGTTCTTGTGTTCACTTTCTTTCTTTCAGGTACTACATTTCATCATCATCACCATAATAATAATAAGTGGTTGTTTTTTTGTTGTTTCTTTTCAGATAACAGCAGTGTGTAGAGAAGCAGCCCTTCTAGCCCTTCAGGAAGACATCCATGCCAAATCCATCATGGGACGGCACTTTCGGGACGCGCTGACTGTGGTGACCCCAAGGATTCCTGATTCACTAATCCAGTTTTATGCAGATTATCAGCAGCAGAGTGGACTGCACACGCTTTGAAAGGCAAATTAATACATACCCCATTCACAATGTGAATAGCAAATTTCCTTTGGAAAGCTGTCAGAAGCCAAAGAATTTTGTATTGTGAGCGAGTGGAGTGTCTGAAGTTAACTGCAATGCAGAATTGTTGTAATAAATGCGCATGTGGAAGTTTTGAGTGTTTTAGATATGGTACAAAACTTTGTATTTTACCACTTCAGTGGTATAACCTGCATTTTAGAGGTAGTAAGATTGCTGGTTTAGGTCAGTTTATCTGAGTGTATATCCATATATCAAACCAAATGATCAGATTCTGAATCCTTGGTCCTAAAGACAGAAGCAACTAGAGCCATTACTGTCTTCATTTATTCCTGCCTCAGCCAAAATTTAATCCCAGGGACCATCCCAGTGAGGTGCAGACCTGGGGAGTGGCTTCACTACAAAAAATGCTGAAAATTGTTGTGAATCTTTTGATTTATGATCTCCAGCAAAGCTGCCAAACAGGCTTTCTGAGGCAAAACTGAGGTATCCTGATTGATTACAGCCGAACATTTGTCTTTGGTCTTAACCAACTCCTTTTCAGACATCCTGGCAAGTAAGCACCTTAAAAATTGTCCATCCCTCAACTAACCTGAACCCACTGCCAGGCATCAGTGGAAGATTTTCGTTGTGGATGTCTGTTTCCATCAAAATAAGTAGGAATGTTGATTGGTAATTTAAAGCTGGACACTTAAAATCCTTAATGAATCCTAATTAATGAATAAGAAAACCTCCTTGCAAAAACTGTTATAAATGACCACAAAATCCTTCAGGGACAGATAAAATCTGTTCAACTTATTTCTTCATTATATTGTCTGTTGAAACGATGACAGGTCCTAGTGGGCTCTCTGCTCTTGCACTCAGTATGAAGTGCAGTTAAGCAAACTCATTTTCAGTTTCTTTCCTCACAACAGAAAGACACAGCTTTTTTATTCCAATCATAAAAAGTAAAGGGAAAGGTAAACCAAAACCAGTACAAACTTTAACAAAATTAAAACAAAAAAAGGTGACAAGAACATGCATTTCAGTGGATAATTCTGTGTTTTCCTGGTGTTTCACAGGTAGGTAGAAGAAAGGCAGAAAAGGACCTGGGAGTTTGGATAGACAGGAAGCTGAACAGGAGCCAGCAGTGTGCTCAGGTGGCCAAGAAGGCCAATGGCATCCTGGCCTGGATCAGGAACAGCGTGGTCAGCAGGACCAGGGAGGTGATTCTGCCCCTGCACTCGGTGCTGGTGAGGCCACACCTTGAGTAGTGTGTACAGTTCTGACCCCCTCAGTTCAGGAGGGACATTGAGGTGCTGGAGCAGGTCCAGAGAAGAGCAACGAGGCTGGTGAAGGGACTCGAGCACAAGTGCCATGAGGAGAGGCTGAGGGAGCTGGGGGGGTTCAGCCTGGAGAAGAGGAGGCTCAGGGGAGACCTTATCACCCTCTACAGCTACCTGAAAGAAGGTTGGAGTCAGGTGGGGGTTGGTCTCTCCTCCCAGGCAACCAGCAGGAGGACAAGAGGACACAGACTCAAGCTCTGCCAGGGGAGGGTTAAGTTGGATATTAGGAAGATATTTTACACAGAGAGAGTGCTCAGGCATTGGAATGTGCTGCCCAGGGAGGTGGTGGATTCACCATCCCTGGAGGTTTTCAAGATGAGACTGGATGTGGCACTTAGTGCCATGGTCTAGTCACCACGGTAGGGTTGGACTCAGTGATCTTTGAGGTCTTTTCCAACCTGGTTGACTCTATGATTCTATGAATTTACAGATCAAAATTTTAGCCAAATCCTCCTTTCATTTGTTGAAATAAACAAGAAATGTCATTTCAGGCTTTATGTAAGGTTATTTTTGCATTTCTTTATTGATTGCTCTGAAGACTTTTCTTTCTTGCAGTCATTATATATTAGTATGCATATTTCATTCAGTAGTCATTATATAAGTGTATATATTTTTCTTCAGTCATTATATGTGTTCATGAGAGACTAGTAATTATTTAGATATTTATGTCATTTTATGATGAATTTCTAGATATCCAAGAGAGATTTCTACTCTATTTACTTATATTATCAATATGAAATTTGAAAAGTAATCCCTTTACCTTGATTATGGTTTTTCCTTCTCCGTTCCACACTGTACACAATTTATAGCTTTTATACAGAAATCTACTAGTTTTAGATGCCAACTTTTCTGTTACTTTTATTCTAACCTCTTGCTGCTATAATTAGCATTTAATTTTGCTATCCCTGACAAGGATTAGAGGATGAGGAAAAGCAGGTCATCTACTTAGTTCAGCTGATGTATGTGGAGGATTTTTCTTTTTTTTTCATTGTTTTGCTCTTTTATAGTACAACAGACAGAGGGAATTAAGAAAATTATAAACCTTAAAAGTTGCCTTGGGGATCAAGACTGCATCTGAAACTACTTTATCCTTCTTTTCCAAGTTCTTTACGCTCCAACTTGGAGCTGAGGATGTGAACCATTTATCATAACCATTACATTTCTGATGCTTCCAAAAGTTATATGCCATACCTTTATCCCCTGGCACTTTACCTCAGTGTCTGCTCCTGAGGGGAGGAAAAAAACCACTGCAGTTTTTACTGCCAATGATGAATTCTATTTGTAATTTCGTAGCCTGAAAATAACACGATGTGATGCTCCAGATGAGTAAGAAAAGTAGATGGCCATTCCTTGGGAAGTGCTCAGAATTATTGGGGAAATGCACCAAGGTGTGAATGTGAACTGAGAAGCTATGAGAGAGGCAGGCAGGAGCTGGCTGCCCATTCAATTTGTGGACTCCTGCTGCCATCAGAGGGAATTTTGCACATTGGATTCTAGGACATGAGAAAATGCTGCCCCATGTCTGCTGTTTGTGCCTTGGGAAAAACCCCATCCCTGCAAACACTGATCCTCTCACCTGCATGGTACCACATTTATCCCCACAGTACCAAATCTCTTGATACACACCCACATGCCTGAAGTGATTTTAAGTGCAGGAAGCTCCCCTTTATATCCTTGGGATTGTGGCACTTGCTTTTTTAAGAAGTAAGATATTCTTTTTTTTAAAAAATAGGCAATGACAAATTTGTGAAGTCCCTAGAAGGCATCTGTTTCTCCCAGAACTTTTGTTTGGAAAACTTGGCTAATCTGAAGCCACTCGGGATCTTACTCTGTCTCTAACCAGAGATAAATTAGTCTTTAAAGAAAGGTACGATGATTCCCTGTCTCATTCCTAGTGACAGATTGCTGATATCATGGGCTAGCAACTTGAAACCTTACCAGCAAACTTATCAGACTTCTGGAAAATAACCAAAATTTCAGTTTTGGACAAAACACATTGGTACCACAGTCCTTTCATAACCCAGTTTGGAGAGAGCTTTTGCACCCTGAGCCTCTCGTTGGAACTTACTGATGAGGGCACTGTAGGACAGAGCACTCCAGAAGCATCTCCTGTTGGCCTGTCATTTGAATGAGTGGGTTTAAATGCAGAGCTGAACTTTTCACAGCTTGTTTTACTGAACACTTCGTGCCTTGGCACCGAATCAAATCCCTTGCAGTGTGAGGCCATATATGCCTGAACACCTCTGTGCTGCAGAGTAAAGCAGAGATAGAAACCTCCTCTCCTCTGCTGGGCTAATCACCTTTTTGTTGTTTGGATGTTTCCATGAGATTTTATTTTAGTAAATGATCAAGGCTCAATGAACAGAAGAAAAGGCATCTGAGAAGAACATCTCCCTCCCATCCTCTTTTAAGTGCTTGGATTTACTTCTTAGACTTACTTCTTTACGTTCTTTAGAAACACAGTCTTTTTCCTGCCTGCTATTATCTTTTGGAGCCAGTTTTTGGCCCAAATACTGCTTGAGTTGCACAATTGTTAGCATTAAATCAGCTTTTCAATGGTTCAGGCACATTCTGTGTAAATACAAAATCTACCTTTTTTTCCCTCTAATAACAACATCTTGCAAAATGGCATAAAACGTCCTTTGACAGGTTTGCCAAAAATGACCAGGAAGAATATTTATGATCAAAATGCAAAAATGTCTTCACCTGCAAAAAAAAGTTCAGTCCTGTGTTCTCCTTAATGCATAAAACAGATTTGCACTGCTAGTATGATATGCAGTTCTTAATCCTGGAAAAAGAATGAAGCTTATTGTGGATAATTTTCCTGCAGTCTTTAAATGAGAGCAGAGCTTAAGGTTTGCTGAGCCCAGGTGTGAGGACAAACACTGAGGATAGAATAAAGATAATTTTCAAAGGTGATTATTCAAAATCACTGAATTTAGGCTTGTCAGCCCTTTCATATATTGTGTCCTTAAAGTTGATTTTTGTGGTTTGTGTATCCTGGCTCTCTGCTTTTAGCTTCTTTACTCATTTTAAATGTCAAAGTGTGGTGATTCCCCTTTGGAAACTGGGCATGTGCCAAACATAATGCTCGTGTAGCTGAGCATCCGTGGATCAGTGCTGCAGG